TTAGTGTATCAAAATAATCACACACACTTGTGTGTCCCTAACAAAAACAAAATTTTGAAATTTTTAAGAATGTGGTTTGCACCATATTTCCAAATAATTTTGTGCCGTGATGGGTTCTTTTTGATGATTTATCCACTTTAGCAATACTAAAAAAAATTCATGACAACATATCATTTTTTGGTGCATAAAAAAGATGTTTGACATTGTAATAATTTTATGGTTATAATTTTTTTAAAAATATTTTATAAAAAAAGAGGACAAGCCCCTCCCACCACCAAGCCCCTCCCACCGCTGCGTGTCTTTCTTATCGCTAGATAATGAGTGTTTGTGGGTCATTTTTATGGGTCCATGTATACGTGTTTTGAAACTTTATCGGATTGGAAGTATATTTATTTTTTAAAATATTTTTATGTTTAAATATATTAAAATAATTTTTTTTTATTTTTAAAATTAACGTATTAAAACAATCAAAGATGTATGAAAAAATATTTTTAATAAAAATTTAAATTTAATGTTTTTAGAAATGAGATTCTAAAATATTTGAAAAAAATACTTTTAGTTGAAGTTAATTTGGTATTTATATATATAGGATTAAAACTGTAATTAAAATTGAGATTAAATAAAAAATAATTTAATATATTTAGTTAATAATGCTTTTTAATTTGAGGTTATAAAATAAATAATATATATATATATAAATATTGATGGTTTTAAATTTAAATATCGTACAATTAATTACTATTATTCACATCATTAAATAAATAATATTTATATAAAATATTTTTTATTGTTTTATCAAACTATCTATAATTCTATCATGTACGAAATTCATCAGATAAGAATTACAGTTTTCTTAGTTTCTTAATAGCGCAACAATATTAGGTAAAATATCATTATAAACAAAATTTAAATTATAATCAAATTCTACAAATACTACATCATCAAACAATATCTCTCTGACTGAAATAGTGCGTGGAACAGTCGAGAGGAACTCAATTGTTCATGCGAACAATAGAGTTTCACCGTCCATTGTTTGCATGATGTAAGGAAATATTTTTAAGATTAGTGTATCAAAATAATCACACACACGTGTGTGTCCCTAACAAAAACAAAATTTTGAAATTTTTAAGAATGTGGTTTGCACCACATTGCTAAATAATTTTGTGTCGTGATGGGTTCTTTTTTATGATATATCCACTTTAGCAATACTAAAAAAAGTTCATGACAACGTATCATTTTTTGGTGCATAAAAAAGATGTTTGTGATTGTAATAACTTTTATGGTTATAATTTTTTTTAAAATATTTTATAAAAAATATTTTTAGTTGAAGTTAATCTAATATTTGTATATTTTTTTGCTAAAACTGTAAATGAAATTAAAGCTGAATAAAAAGTAATTTAACGTATTTGATTAAAATAATATTTTTTAAAATTGAGGTTGTAAAATAACTTTTATATATATATATATATATATATCGATGATTTTTAATTTAAATATTATGAATTTAAATACTGCTATTATATTATGAAATAAATAATACTTATATAATTTTTTTTATTAAAGTATTTATAATTTCATTATATATAAAATCTATTAGATAATAATTATAATTTTTTGATTTTTTAAATACATAATATTATTGAAAACAAAAATAAAATTACTTTTAAATTTTATAAATATTACATCATTAAACGATATCGTTCCAGGTGGAACAGTGGCTATAACAATGAAAAGTAACTTAACTGTTTTTTATTCTCCATTGTTCGCAGGATGCAAGAAAACAACTCTCAACTATTTTTCGCAAACTTACAATTTAAATAAATTTTAAACAACCCCACGTGAATAGTAAAATGTGTTCTAGCATTACTAAATACCGAATATATACTGTTTAATTTGAAAGTAAAAGCTGCCGCGTTTGTTAACGAGCACATATTCTTGTTGTCTTTGTGAACTACGCGGGAAGATTATTGTCACATCTTAAAAGCTAGTAAAATAAAATTGTAATATTTCATTAAAATATTTTAAATAATGTTAAATTTTTTAAATTATTATGTTAATTTAAAAAAACCTTTTTTTTAGATTTTTTTTGAAACTAACTTATATCAAAAAATAAATATTTGGAAAACTTGTACTGTTTCCAAAAATATTTTAAAAAATAATATAGTTAATTGATTATATTAAAGTAGTGTATTTTTTTATAAAAAAAACTACAACGGTTAAGGTGTCAGGAACACTAAAAACACAACGTAATATTAAAATATAATAAAAAAATCAGCAAGTTATTATTTTATCTTTCATCTGAACAAATAAATATCGAGAGTTAAAGGTGAATCATTCCCAGCAACGCAACAAATTATTATTCTCACTTAGCAGTTTTGTTATTTTTTAAAATATTTTTAAAATTATGATATTTTATTAAATATTTTTTTTAGCATGAGGTCTTTATTTCTTTTAAAACAAAACATTCTCTTACGCAGAAAAAAGCACAAGGTTCTAGCAAAATCTTCCTTGTTCCATGCTTTCTTATTCATTCAGATTCGAACACCTCACAAATCTGATCCTCCCGACCAGCTGATGCAATCACCAGGCTACCAAATCATGGTTGCGTGTCTACAGTTTCTTTTGCCTTGCATTTTCATTAAAAAAACCAAAAGTCTCACGCATTTCTTTTCTTTTTTTTTTAAAAAAACATTTTTCCGGACCAGTTCCCACGCATAAAATGTAATTACATTTCCCAGTTCAATCAATAACTTCATTTCTTTTTTTTTTTTAAAAAAAAAAAACGCATTTCTTTTCTTTTTTTTTTAAAAAAACATTTTTCCGGACCAGTTCCCACGCATAAAATGTAATTACATTTCCCAGTTCAATCAATAACAAGCTAACTATATAAAGATTAAAGGATTCTAAATAATTTATTTTTTCGCATTTAACATAAAGTTTAAATCCTAACAACTAAAGAGGAATATAGCCCTTTAGACGGTAGAACAATTTCTTTAGATTAAGATCTCAAATCTTTTTTACTTTTCATATTTAATATAAAGTTTAAATACTAGTTTAAAAAAGGTAAGCATTTGTTCTGCGACACCAATGATTCAAATCTGAAAATAATTTGACCGAATTAAAGCAGGCCGAGGTGTTTTTTATATAAAAAAAAGCTGGATTGGCTGTCTGCAACACAGTGGTATAGTTTGTAATTATCGGCAAGATGAACGGCAATGGTTAGAATGTGATATTTCACTTGCCGGAAAAGACAAAAAGCAGGTCAGCGGCAACAAAAAAGTTGGTCACCCAACGCCTATATTTTTGCAGCTTTAAATGTTAACACACAAATTGTTTTTTTATTTTTGTTTTAGAAAAAGCAATCCACTTTCTTACCTTATTTCACATGCTCTTTACGAATAAAATTACGAAATTAACCATATCTAACTCAGATTTCAAAATTCAATTCCCCTCACGGACGTGAAATTTCCCTTAAATCACTTGTATTTATCGGGTTTAGCGAAAATAATTAATAAATCTATTTTTAAATTGTTGCTTTACTCTTACTTAAATGTTACATTTTCGTTTTTTTCCTTTTGTACTTTTTTTTATTTACCTTCCTTTTTTTGTGTTTTCTGGTTCTGTTCAGACCGGCAAGACAAGCTGTTTATTTTTCCGACAAGGGTAGATTATTGTTTTCTCGAGAAAGTTTTTTCTCAGGAAACAAACAGTTCCTTCTCTTTCTTTTCTTGTTCTTTTGTTCTTTAGTGTTTTGCTGAGAGAAAACTCGAAGTTGCCAGTACTATTTGAAGAAGCTAAGCGAATGTGAAAGGGACCGAGAGAGAGACGCTACAGTTTCTGGAGAGTACCTTCTTAAAGTCTTGAAGTTGCTGTTGTAGGTCATGATGATCTTTTAATATTTTTTTTTTGCATTGACTGTTTTTTTAAAAGTTGTAGCGTTTAACAGTTCATTTGCTCTTATGTGAAAGTTTGTGGTTTTGATCTTTGAAGATTAAAGCAAAATGTTGAGGTTCTGTTAGATATTCACTGTTTTTTTTAAAAATTATCTTCTGTTTTTTTCTCTCCTTCTTTAGATTTTGATCTTGGGTTTTTTTTTTAGGTTTGGAAATTTGGAGCTAAAATGCTAATTTTTTACTGAGATTTTTTTTGTAGTAATTTATTTTCTGCTAACATTTTATTTTCATCCTAATTTTTCTGTGTTGCAGAATCTGGAAAATAGTGTTGTTAGCTGTAGTGATTTTTGAATAATTTACAGTTTATGCATGGAGGGAAGAGAAGGATTAAGTTCAGGGGTAACAGTGATAGGAGCGGAAGCTCCATCAACCTATCATATGGCGCCAAGGACAGAGAATCCAGGCCAGATTGTAGTGTCACCACCAGCCGTAGAGGTGCCATCAGTTGGTGCAGGAGTGATCGGAGGAACTGCAGAAAAGAAGAAAAGAGGGAGGCCAAGGAAATATGGACCAGATGGGGCGGTCGCTAGGGCATTATCACCGATGCCAATTTCTGCTTCAGCCCCGCATACTGGTGGAGACTACTCTGCAAAGCCGGGGAAAGTGTGGCCTGGTAGCTATGAGAAAAAGAAATACAAGAAAATGGGAATGGAGAATTTAGGTATGTTTTACCCTTTTGAAGCCCAGTTCCTTAGGATCGAGTTTGTTACGTTATCAGAACCGTATGAATAACAATGATTTTGATTTTCTTTTATGGATTGACTAGTCGTTTCCTTTTTGTTATAGTGAACTGGTCTTCAAACTTGTTTTTTAGTAGTGGAATTGAGGTTTTTGAATTATTGTCTTGATTGATTTGAAGAACTCAGGCCCCTCAAATTCCAAAGATTCCTTAATGTGAACTTACCCCTTGATTACACACGTGGGACCATTCTGTGAGATGCTTTTGTTAAGATTTGGAATTATATAGTGCTGGTTCTGAAAATAACTAGGTGGGCTTTTGTGGGTTGGCATGAGAGTGAGAATATTCCGTGCTTTTTTTTTTTTATGTAGTGAGGATTGAACAATATGCTCTGATGACAGAAACAGAATGATACTTCATCAGCAGTGTCTTTAGTTACAGTGACTACATTAGAAAATATTGATGAAAAATTTATATCCCTGTACTTCCTTGGACATCATGATTCAATTGAGAAAACTGTCTCGCTCTGAGGTTTTGAGCTTTAAATCCCTTTTATGGCACTGATTCTTCTCTTCTAATGCTTGCCTAAAGCAACAGAATATCCTTGTGATGCACATCAAACTTGCCTCTCTTAGAGTCAAGCCTTCTTACTCGACACTTGTGAATTCCTTCTTACCCCCTTATGATCTTATCACTGATGAAATTGCCTCTCAGACTTTACTCCTGTATAATATTCCAATGCTTCCTAGGTGCTAATAGGTGGTTGGAACACTAGTTTGCCTGGAGCTTGGGGAATTGAAGCCCTGTACTCCAGCTTTGACAGGTGTTTTACAGCAACTTTCTGACTTCTGAGCTGTGATGCACCACATCCTTCCATTTGCCTGTACATTTGACCCACATGAATTTTAACTTTATGAGATGGTATAAACTCATGAAATGTTGTCTATAATACAATATTCAATTATCAAACCGTGGGAATTTTTACCTTGTGGTAAGTTTTCAATGCAATGTCATTTTGCTTCAGCCTCAATGATAATCAATCTGAGATTTTGTAGTTGCTTATTGTTTTTGTGTTTTAAAAGCACTTTTGAAAAAAATTGAATTTTTATATTTTTTTCTTTGCTTTAAATTAATAATTTTTTGGTGTTTTTAGATCATTTTGATGAGTTGATGTAAAAAATGATTTAAAAAAATAAAAAATATTATTTTAATATATTTCCAAGTGAAAATCACTTTAAAAAGCAACTGCAGCTACACTCCCAAACACGCTCTAAGCCTCTCTTCATGAGATTGACTTGACAGCGGGAAGGTTTTTATTGTTTTGAGACGTAAAAAAAAATAATATGTGAGGCTTGCTAAGAATTGCACCAAGCTCCGTTTGAAAGATGTTTTCTTTAATTTGTCTGACTTGAAAATTATATGTTACTGTACATTTCCCTTATCTTTCATTGTCCTTGTGTTAAAAAAGTAGGTCAATATGCTTGTTGAGATACACGATGCTAAGCAGTAATAAATGAAAGAAAATTGAATGTATGCTTCTGGAAAAAACGCTAAAGTGTGTTAAGAAAGTTACTGACTTTATTTTGAATTCTCTGGTGTTTGTTGATTGTCATTTTTTAGGTGAATGGGCTGCTAATTCTGTTGGCACAAATTTTACACCCCATGTCATCACTGTTAATGCTGGCGAGGTATGCTTGACCAAAGAAAGACAAATGTTAACTTCATTTGGATTATGCTGATATAAAAATGTTTGCACTTCCAATTTTCATTTGTATCTGGTTTGTGAATTTAAATCTATACGTTTGGTAATCAGTTCAGAAAACATGCAGCTTAAATGGCTTCTAATAGTGACTAATGTTTTCACCCTATTTCCTGACTGTTAGATTACATAGTACATTTATTCCATTTAGGCGGTCTTTTTCCTTAAGCCAGATCATCTTTTTCAGCACATGAGTACAAAATGTTCTTCTTGATCAATTAGGGTTCTTTTTATAGTAATTGTAATGATGGATAATACTTCATAGTAATTCGTTCTGCTTGGAATTCTGCTATCCAATTGTTCAAATGGCATTTCAATATAACATTTCTGAAACATCTCTGAAGGATATATTAGCATTCAGGGAAGTTGTGACAGATAATTTAAAGGATTAAGAACCAGTTTTGCTACATTTGGATTCCATTTTCGAGCCTTTCCTCTTTTGCAGGTTGTTCTGTTGAGTGATGGCTAATTGTTTTTTGTCTTCACTGGCATTTTTTGAAATGCTCGCCAAAATTAATTTTGCTCATTAGATTAGTTATGGATGGAATTGAGTTGTAGTAAAACTAGCTGATTATCTCAGTGTTGCTGTCAGTTTTTTAAATTTCTGCATATATTTGAACATGTGATTTTACTAATTGGATATATTCTATAGCGAACAAGTTGTATTATAAATAATTCTAATTTAAAGACCTGATTTTTAGTAATTGGATATATTCTATAGTGACCACGTTGTATTAGAAAAGATTTTGACATTAAAAGCTTTGTTGAAGAATAATACTCATATTAAAAAAAAAAAATTGAACATCCAATTTTATTAATTAGATATTTCTATAGTGATCAATTTGTGTTATAAAAGAATTTTTTTGACATTCAAAACTTTGTTTAAGAAATATACTTGTGTATTTAATTTGATTTTATGAAAGATTAATAAAATTTTTGTAATTTTGATATTATCAACTCAAAAAAAAATAAATCGCGGCAGCATCATCATCAAGTAAAATGCTTAGAAGCTTTAGAAAAAAAATATAAATCCTTATAGCATATCAAAAGCTTGGGATTTAATATACATATTGATGTACTAATTGCAAATTAACTTCTACCTGATTGTTGTGTTCTGTTTCGCTTCCCTTGTGATCTTCTTTGGTTGTTTAAAGACCACTTCACTTGTAATTATTTTTGGTTGTTCAAGGACGTTACCATGAAGGTGATATCATTTTCACAGCAAGGGCCTCGTGCCATTTGCATCCTATCAGCTAATGGAGTAATTTCAAACGTCACACTTCGTCAACCTGATTCTTCTGGGGGTACTTTGACATACGAGGTCTGTCCTCCCATTCCATCCCAACTCCTAAATAATTCATGTTAGCTTTACAACTAAATGAATGCATCTTCTAATTGTAAGAATTTAACATGTTTTGTTATTGTTTTAGCTTTCTTTATAGTGGGGACTAGCATAGTAGTTAACATTTGCATGGGTTTGATTTTGTGAAAGTATAGGATGTCCTTGAGGATTAAAGGTACGATGAGGCCAACACTTCTGCAAATTTATTTCTTTCTTGGTAAAGTGGTGCTAGCAAGCTTGGAAATCTTAGAATTGATTTGATTTTGAGAACTTAAAAACTTTGATCGCACCACTAGTTTTGAATAGTTAGAAGGTATCTTTCATAATTCATTGGAAACTTATAAGCTTAGAAAATCCATATAATGTAAAAAGGTTTTGTGTGTGTTTGTGTGTGTGTGTGTATGTATCGGGGAAATCAGTTTAGGTTCATTAGACTTTTCTGATAATACAATGTCCAATAAAGCCATTAAGGCCATTGCTTTGGGTAACCTATCAACTCACTTTTGTGGTAGTCTTTCATTGCTGCACTGGAGAATGGACCTTGTTGAACGTAGGCATATTCTTAAATTATTTTAAAATCAAGATGTTCTCTGACAGTCGATAGATGCTGGATGGTCAATTTTGTTGAAATAGTGTTGGTTTTAATCAATTAATTAAGATCTTGCACAATTAGTGCGCACACATTTATTTAAAATTCACAAAACTTATTAGCTGAAACTAAGCCCCACACAATACAACTTTCTCCAAATCACACACAGCCTCAGTGTTTTCTCTAATCACTTGGAACAGATAAAAATAAGACCAAGGTCTTACGTTTACAGAAGCGTAAGCCAACTCTCCAAATCCTAAAACATAAAGGACTAATGACAGATATTCATCAAGAGTCTAAATACTACATGGATTCAACCTGGGCTGATTAATGAATTAGAACTAGTTTTTGGTTGAGCTTTTTTACTGTGAGTAGAATGTAAAACAATTGTATTTGGAAATTCAATTGGTTTTTCTTCTAATTTTTTTTTAAACAGTGAAATCATTGCATTAGGTTCAGTTGCTGTGTAGAATTTTTAATCTCCTCTATATTTTACAGGGTCGCTTTGAAATACTTTCGTTGTCTGGATCATTTATGCCTACTGAGATTCAAGGATCAAGGAGCAGATCAGGAGGGATGAGTGTCTCTTTGGCAAGCCCCGATGGTCGTGTTGTGGGGGGAAGCGTTGCTGGACTTCTAGTCGCTGCTAGTCCCGTGCAGGTAAGCTCTTTTTATTCACTTGCTATTGAAGGAGAACTCCACTTCGCCGCCTACAGTATTTTGCTATTGAAGGAGGAGAACTCCACTTCGCCGCCTACAGTACCCATGATGGGTGAGGTAACTAAGAAGTGGTTGAAGGCTTTGATGACACCAATTCCACAACTGGAATTCAAATGTCAAGCGCCAAAATAGATACTGATCTGTTCACTGGTTTTGCACGAGTATAAATAGAAGTGGTGCATGTGGTATGAATTTAAACCATACACAAATAGACATGCAGCTCCCTGCGCATGGTGTTTAAATCAAGACTTGAAATGCTTGCTTTAATATCTTGGTCTCAGGTTGTGGTAGGCAGTTTCCTGCCAGGAAATCATCAAGAACAGAAACCAAAGAAGCCGAAGATTGACTCCATACCGGCAACTTTTGCACCAGCTCCGGCCATACCTGCTTCTATTGCAGAGAGAGAGGAAAGTGCGGGTACACCACAGGGGCAGCAAAATTCCTCTCCCTTCCAAAGAGAAAACTGGGCCACCATGCACTCCATGCAGGATGTGAGAAGCTCCGGAACTGACATCAACATATCATTGCCAGAAGGTTAACTTCAGGAGCCCTAGTCAAGCATCTTTTACTGACTGTATTGGTTGGTCATCTTGGAGTCTGAGTTGCTCTTATCAAATTCTCTGTATGCTTTATTGAATATTTCTTCTGGAATAACTAGGATGTTAGGAATGACATACTTTTTGGCTGGGATCAGACAGGATATCTGATCACTAGGGCTAATCTAAAGTAGGCTTCTTTGATTTGTTACGAGTAGAGTATTTGGTTGTAAAGACATTTGAATTGGAAACCAGTCTGGCTTGGACAATATTTGCCTTCGGTGAAGCAGACCTGGAACCTGGAGCATGTTCGGCAGCATGGTCCTTTTTTTCCTTTATTTATGGAGCTTTTGCACTAAATGCTAATGAAAAAAACTGTGAGGTAACAATTCAAAAGCCGTTAAAAGCTAAAAGTCTGGAGTTACAGTGAAGATTTTGGGTTTTTAACTTGTCAGAGAGCGAAAGCAGATAATTTCCCGAGGTGTACTGCAGGGGGGGTTAAAGTATTTTTACAAAAAAAAAATAATGCCTAGATTAAAATAATTTATTTTTGACAATGTTATGAAAATCAATTTAAATGGCTAAATCTGAAGTCTTCTTTTCGTACTCCTAGTGTTGAAGTTGCGCCGGTGCAAGTTGTACAAGGGGGTCCGAAGGTGAAGTTGCTCTTGGTCGGCTCGGTGAGATAGAAAAATAATTATTATATTAATAATAATAGAGGCAAGAACGTGGTTTAATTTTTAAAATATTTACAAGATGATATTTTCTTAAGAAAAATATTGAATTAATGGTATATTAATTCATGAATAGTTAATTTGTTAAATTGTTGAGTTTAATAATTTTATTTTTATAAATTATTTTTATTTAATTATATAATAAAAAATAAATACTTGTAAAATTGAACATCTATTTAATATTAAGATATTTTTCTGATACCATGATAATACTATATAAAATAAATTATAAAGTTTAATTTTTAATAATTATATTTTTTTCTAGAATTATTTTTTATTTAATAATATAATAAAAAATTGAAGCTAAAAAACTAAGCACTAACCCAATAAAAATATGTTTTTCTAAAATTATGATAACATCATAAAAAATAAATTAAAATAAATTATGAAATTTAATTTATAATTATTATATTTTTTAATTATTTTTTTATTTAATAGACAATTATAAAAACTAAACAACAACTCAAGATACTTTTTCTACATCACAATAATTTTTATATAAAACAAAATGAAATAAATAACAAATTCAAATTTTTAATAAACTTAAATGTTAAAATATAAAAATTTAAAAGAAAAAGAAAAAGAAAAAAAATGTTATTGTTTCAATAAACAGTAACATGCCTTGTTGTTAATATGAAAATGTATTATCAAATACTGCTCTAGTCACAAGCTCAGTCTTGGTTAAAACCTATATATATATTAAACGTAAACCTGTCTTAATATATGGTAAGCTAAGATGAAAAACTATATGACCATCAAATTAATTGATGAAACAAGTGTTCAAGATGTAGTAAAATATACGTTCTGGAAATTTTGAGGCCCCTCCCTCCATCCCCAGCTCTCGGAGAAGCTTAGTGACATGCAAAATTAACAAAGACTTGGGTTCATTATAAATCATACGTGGAGTCAACAACTTTTATTCTTATCGGTGCCT